TCAATAAGGTGTCTGAAATCCCTTTCTGTTTCTTGTTTCTTTAGTTTAAAATTTTGTTTTGAGTTTTCATGTTTATGGAAACCGGTGACCTTTCAAGGTTTACACACAAGTCCCACCTAAGGTGTTTAAAAAATAATTTCTTCAAACAGTTTGAGTATTTTCTCATTCATCTCAACACAGAATGCACTATTTCACAACCATGAGATTGTCATTTAAATTGTCACTTGCTTTATTATGTAACTATAACAATTGATCTGTTTTAAAAAAGTCTACTCAAGATTTTCAAAAAATGTATTATATTTATAACAAATGTACTGTAAATAAAATAAAACATACACCATATTCACTGTATGGACTTGTGGCCCTTTTTTTCTTCCTTTTCATACAGCTGTAGCAATCTACAGGGCCTGATACTGTATATATGTTCTGTACTGTCTTCATGCTGGCCCTCTTTGCTCAGGTGAAGTTCCTGTCCTGTTGCCACGTGTAGTGCTGGTCTACATGGAAGCTTGTAGCGGCTGCTGTATTCGCTTTTTGAGTTCTTACCCATTGTTCCCAGGTACAACCCCCAGAATTCAGCTGTCTGGGAAATCTCAATTACTTGCTACATGCCGGGGATTTCTAATTTGAGTAATAGCTGCTGAACGTAGGGAAGGCTGTGTGAAGCAATCAAGTGCAGCAAAACCAGCTAAGAGTTAGGAGTTACGGTTTATGATGGGTTAGCTGGGTACAGTGGAAACTGAGCACCTAAAGAAACCATAGACTTCTGACAGTCTGCTGCAGCTTGTGGCTGAAGGCAGTTCCTTCACAGGACAGCACTGACTTACGGAACGGGACACCTGCCTTCAGATGCATATTTTTCTTTTTAGACAAGGTTTCCAATTTTACTTCATGCAGTATGACTGTATGACTTCTCCAGGTCTTAAAACTTCCTGAGAAGTCTTAGAACCCATTCACAGCACATGACCTTTTGTAGTCATACTTAATATGACTGTGGATCATGTTGATCTATCAACAGAATACTTGAGTACTATCTAACAATAAATATATTGCTTCTGGGGCTGAGGTTTTTTCTTCTGCTGTTGGGCAGATTGGAATGCTACTTCTTCTGAATGATTCTTGGCATAGTAGCCTTACGCTATATGTCATCAGTCTTCTTTCCATCTTAGCAGCCTCTTCAATATGCAGTTTTGAGATGCCTTTCTATGTTTGTGTATCTAGACATGGGTTTTTTTTCCTGTATACCAAGTATTCCCAAACAGTTCTTGAAAATGCAAAGCTCAGCATTTATAGGCTGTCAACCCTATAAATAAGCCAGACTTTGGTTTTGCTGTAGACACAACATCATGTAGCTAAAAAAATCCATGCCAAACAAACCAAACTTGCTTTCTCTTCACACTTAAGTGAAATCTCCCCCTTATTCTCTTTCCTTATGTGGTGATTACAAAAATACTGATGTTTTAACTTGTCATATTCTAAGACCATTTACTGAAAAGCAGTATCTGTGATTGTAACTTCTAAAGCTTAGCATACTGTTGCAGAAGACTGCTGTCATGCTGTGTCCAAGGAATGGCTATTTTGTAAGCATTATAATGCTTTATTTCTGAATTGATACTGGTTGCTTCATAGTATGTTGCTGATTATGCACATTAGGCTGCGTAAAAAGCATGGAGCTGTTCAAAATAGAGTTCAAAATGTAGTCGTTGGCATGTCAGAACAGAAGTTTACTATGTGATTGCTTAGGTGAGGAGCTACCATGGAGACAGAGCTACGCCTGGCTCCTTAATGAATTCTCACATGGAAAACTGCGTGCCTATGCATGGACCCACAGAGACGATGGAAAAACAGTTGTATTGACATGAAAATTACCTGGTCTTGCTATTGAGCAAATAAGTATCTCTGCAAAGGCTGAAACTGCTACTTGCAGAACAATACTGACTTCAGAAGAATCCCATGAACCTGCTGTAAGGCACAAGACCGTCCTAATGCCTCTGTCACGGCAATGTTACAGCTTAGAGTAGATCAAAATATGACATCTTACTTTGACATAGCTAGAAAAAGCCCTCGAAAATGACTTGATCCAGGGGATCTTTTGTTGTTTTCAGGAATCTAATGAATTTTCATTTTTTACTACTTCTGTAACATAAAACCATGAAACTTGCCAAGCTGGGGTTTTTGGTGAAAAGTAAAATGCCCAGTTTCATTCTTGGCATGGAGGGGAATTTGGGTATAACTTAGTCTTGTATTACATAAAACACGGAAATAATTGCATACATTAGTAGACTTAAAAAGCCTAATTTTTTTAACTTAATTCGCCTCCTGAAAGGAGGTGAGTTCTGCCATCACTTTTGTACTTAAGGGCATGCACTACTCCATCCTGTGCTATGGGAATTCAGGTAGTTCTAGGCTTCTCTGGCAAAAATTGGTAAAATGCTGCATTGGCAAATTACTATTTTCTGCAATGCCAATCTGGAGTGATAGGGTTTTATGGTGTCTTCAGTAGGCTGTGAATGTGATATAGAAAGTATGCAACATCTATTAAGGCATAGTTTGAGAATGGAGACAACATAAATCCATGCAGCTGATGACTTTTGCAGTTTACATCACTTAAGTTTGAGAGTAAATTCAAGTATTTGAATCCATTGTGTGTATGAATAAATGATATTCATAGTATGGCAGCTAATCTGTTTATTTACATGCTGTTATTCCACTGTCTGTAGTAATTCAGCCAGCCTGTTCTATGTTTCTAACTCTGTCCTATAAAGCAGCAAAAATAATCTTCTTGTTTAATTTTCATGTGCAAATTGAAGTAGGATGACTAATATTCCATATATGTGTAGCTTGCTTACAGAACTTGTATACATTCGTTAGTACATGTGACTTGGGGCGGTGTCTAGTGGTGCTCTGCTTGTATGAACTGTCATGTCTCCAAAGTACTTGTAATTAAAGTTGCTTAAGAATATTAGAGAAGAATGCCACCTGGAGGTAATAGAAGTGAATAGGTGGCTGAACGGTACAAAAATTCAGCTGATGTTGCTTTCGGAGTTCCGCACGACACTACCTGACAAGGGTGCTGAGAAAGCTGCCTGTCACGAGGAGTTGAAGAGGGAATGTAGAAAGCGCTCAGAGGGAACAGGCTGAGTATGTCTCATGAAAGAGCAATAGGAAACTCAGCCCCTGGGAGGGGAAGGACAAAGAGAGGAGCAGAGTGGGACAGAGCTTTCCGAGTGAAAACTGAGGGCCTTCACTGTAATGAAAAATAAGGATGATGTCCAGATGGTGCCTGTAGGCAGGGTGGTTACCAAGGGAATGAACTCAACTGCTGCTTTTTTGAACCAAGAGGACCAAAGTTTGGCTTTTTAAAAGATGATTGCTGTCATTCAGGCAATCCTAGTGAAAGCATGCAAGCTTGGCAGAAGGACTGAAAAGGAAGGGGCAGGTTTAGAGCAACTGTGGGAAGGAGAGAGATGAGATCTCACAGTTTGAAACCAGACAGAAAGGAAGAAACTGAGCAGAGCAGCACAAGGGCAAGCGCCGGGAGACAACAGGCAATACCCGTTCGCAAAAAAAAAAAAGTTTAAAAGTCTGCATGCATCTTGAAGCTGCATTTAATTTGTTGTTCAGGATGTCAGTCACAAATTCTGGAGTAATTATAGTTGGTGGTTACTAAAAGAGATGAAACCTTTAATTATTTTGTGGGCAAACGACGACTGCTTTTAATGACTCATATACAATTAGACTGGCTGCTAGTATGGTGGAAGGAATGCCCAGAATCTCCTATATAAGCTTCACAAAGAGGATCCCTTTTGTGCTTCAGTTATAATATTTGCCTGAAGGGAGATTTCTTTGATTCCTCTTACTGTTGTAGGAGATGACTATGGTGTTATAGAAAGGTCTTGTGCCTTTTCTGGTCTCAAGCATCAATCCCCATCTACCTTCTCAAAAATGGTAGAAGTCATACTAAGTGTAGTATTCCCCTTGAATTGTGTACTTTATTCTAAAAATTTTTTAGAAGGACTGGTTATGCTGATATAACTGTGGAGTTTTCAGAACTTGTCACCTCATCTTAACTTTTAAACTATTCTATGCATCAAAACAGGAAAAATAACCTTAGCTTTAAATTAAAGTTTAAATTGCTTATGATGGAAGCTCATCTTTAATATCTCTATCTTAAACTACGTTATTTAAATCTTGTTCAAACATTCTATGAAATGGAATAAAGCCTTAACTAGCAATAAATACCTAAAAGTCATATATATTGCAGATTCACAGGATTCTGAAATAGTTTATAGCTAAAAGCAGTAGTAATTGTTGTCTAACTTGTAGACAAAATGGCCATTTCCTTACTATTGTGGTTGGTTTAATTTTAATTAACTATTACTGTCTTATTAGAAAAATGTCTACCAAATTACTTTAAATACAGAAAAAGTCCATCCATACAAGGCATTGAGAAATTCTACAGAATGCTGGGCTTTCACAGTACAGTTATTAAGACAGGTAATATTCTCCTGATACTCAGCCTGAGTGAAAAGCCATGCTCTCTCTAGGAGTTGGTTTCAACTTCACATTTGGAAGTTTGGAGATAATTGGTCTTTGTCACACAGCCTGGATTGATACTGATTAGTAAGAAATCCTCTGAAGTCCACTTAATTTAAAAGCTGTTTCCTAAAATTAAATTTAAAAGGTGCCATATTTCTGAAATCATGCACTTGTACTGGAAAGACTTTTAAACTGTCTCTACAGTGAAACAAGTAGGACTAGCCACATAGGCTCAGTGAAAAATTTAGAATGAAAGATGAGGGAAAAAAAAACCATAAAATGATCTCCTTTTTAAATTTCAGAATAATAAAACTTTAACTTTCTAATTAGGAAAAAGACATAGAGCTAGTTTCCTAGTTTCTCCATCACATTTTCATAACAACAACAAAACTTTCCTAAATAAAAGGGAACTTCTCTAGTTAGATTTCCCAGAGACTTTCAAAAATTCCACTCAAAATACTTCAACTTTTGCATCTCACTTTGTAGAGTGATAAATGAGATAGGGAGTATCTTGTAAAAATCAAAAGTAAAATCAGAAAGACTGTCAGTGATGCCCAAAAATGTAGGTAGTTCCTGAGAAAAGCACCATAGACATATACTGAGAAGTTTAGGGATAAATCACAATAACTGTAAAATGTATCCATTACAATGGCTTTAAAGATATATAGACCATTATAGGGAGGGAAAATGATCTTATTTTTGTCTCCATCAAGAACCTGATACTTGACTGAGGGCCACTTTAATTCAGGTCCATTCCTATCCTTAAAGCTCCTGTAGTTTCTTCTGGTCCATGCAGTATTTGGATCTGGAGACTCCTGTTCCTCTAGCAAAGTCCACTTCTGAGGTTGAGAGATGCAGTTGGCATCATGTGCAGTCAAAAGATAATCATAGTTATGCATTCCATTTATTTCAAACAGAAAAAATTCAGCAGGGACATGCTCCCGAAATCTAGTGTTTTCCCATAACCCAAAAATTGGCACCCAAGGATTTTTATAAAAATGGCCAGAAGAGGCCATCCCACATTTGTAAAGTTATATTTGATCTGTAGATTGTCCTACTGTATATGTTTTCTGGCAAGAAAGTGCAAGTTGTGTATGTTATGGCTGATTGTATAACGGAAATTATTTCTCAGTGCTGCTTCCCAAATGAGGCTTTTGTCACATGCTGTTACATTTTTTTTTTTATTCTGATGTGCTTTGTGGGACACTGCAACAAGTGCAGTCAGGGGAGCCACATCAATACAACCAATTGGATTGTCAGGGATGGCCACATGACAGTAGACAACTCTCCATCGCATACGCCATCGCAGAAGTCAGTGTCTGCAAATTCAGAGAAATACTGCTGCTCCAGAACTATATGCAAGAGGTATTCAGTGTTTCCACCACGTGTAAATCCCACTTCTATTACATACACACTGAAAGCCAGCACATGGGGTTGCTCACTGTCACCAAGGGAGTGGACCTTTTGCCTGGCTTGGGCACAAATGTGGCCTTCAAAGTCAGACCTTCATGCATGTCAGTGTAATAGATCTTGTTCTGGAAGGCTCCCGTGAGGATCTCTGTGGTGCAGGACTGCTGAGATCTGCAGACTGCTAACTGCAAGTTGAGCTTGCATTTATTGAAGTCATACAGCTGAGTGAAATTGCTAATCGCAGCACTGAGTAAGGTCAGCCACCCTCTTTCTTCAAAGAGCATCCCTGTGTTTTTCAAATCTATGCTTGCATCCTTGGCAGTGTGCACCATGCTAGTGACCTGGCTGATGCTACCGTAGAAGAGGTGTCTGTCCTGGGTCAAGACTGCAATCTGGGAGCCCCTAGCAGTCACGAGTAAGAAACTGCTGTCAGGGAAGGCAGTGCTTTGAAAGGTCTCCAAGGGCATGACAGTCACTTCTTCCATGATCAAGCCATTGTTGGCCGATAGAAGTAAAGTATCTGTTGTCCAGAGGATTAGGAAACCCCTCAAGGCAAAATTCTGGATCTCCAAAGCTTAGCAGGGCCTTTGTGCAGCAGGTGAAAGGTAGTAGAGCTATGGTTGGCTATATGGCTGTTTTTGGTACCATTGTATCTGAAATAGACCTCTGCTGCCTTCCCTGCTCCACCCTCTCCACTTCTATGGCTTTCAAGGCTGGTCATGGCAAAGGAGATGAGATTGTAGACTCCGAGCAGCACTCCTCACTCTCTTGTACTGGTCTCAACGCATGTAAATGTGTAACCCCTGTCATGCGAAAGGAAGACGTGGCTGCCAGAGACCGAGCGCCTAGTGTCATAAGCAAAAAGGGTCCAGCTGAGCTCCTTGCACTGGGGGTCTGCTCCTGTGTAGCAGCAATGGGTGTCTGAGAGTTCGGACATGGGGGATGTGACTACTGCTGATGGGACCCACCTGTTGAGGCTCTTGAAATACACGTAGACCCGGCCGTCGACCACCATCAAGACCTTGTCCTTGTGTGTGAAGACAATGGCACTGACGATGGCTTCCTTGGCCTGAAGCTCTTCTGGGATGGAGAATGGTGAGAGGCTGCTCTCAAAAGCATTCAGGCTGATGAAAACATCCTTCCCCAGGTACGTGGCCACCTTTGCCTCCCTCCCACCGGGGCCATGTCCCTCGCAGGGGTGCTGCAGGACCATGGGGCTGGCACTGTGGTAGCTCACGTGAGTGCCTCTTGCCGGCTTCATGTCATGGCCAAAATGTATTGAGTATGCCAGCAGCACGTGGCTGCAACCTGAGCTGCCCCCACAGCCCCACGAGCAGAGCCACAGGCACAGCTCAGCCACCAGCATCCGCCAGGGCTGAGGCGCCATGTCCCTGGTGGCTGAGGGCCAGTGGTGGCAGTTGGGGCAGGGCTGGGGCTTCCCCTGGTGAGGCTACACGGTGGTTAGCCCGCTCCCCCCCGTGTGAGAGGCTTTTCTGCTAACGGTCGTGGAGGGCAAAGGTGGAGGAAGCGATGGCGACTGCCCTGGGTGCTGCTGAGGGGCTGGCCACAGCTCCTGGCTGGCCTGGAGTGGGGATGTGCTGAGGGGAGGAATTTTAAAATGAAGAGGAGCTGCCTT